TTTTTTTTTTTTTTTTTTTTTTTTTTTTTTTTTTTTTTTTTTTTTTTTTTTTTTTTTGCAGAGCTGCGGAAAAAACCGAGTGTTTTTCTCCGAATCGCGGTACAAATCGTGTGTACCACGCAAAAACGCGGCAATTAATACGTGCAAAATTGTTAAAAAGTCATATTTTTTACATTTCTGAGGAAAAAGGGAATAAATTTGCATCCGCAAAAACTCAATGAAAAATGGAGCGATTTTCCACATTTTTCAATACAACATTTGAGCTTTAGATTCATTTTCGTCATTAACCTCCGTGTAGTTTCCAACTTTTAACGCGCAGAGGAAAGTCATTCATTGTATTTCCTATATTATATTTGGTGATGTAAAGCTTTGATTACTCGATTGAGCTCCTGCATTCCTTGAAAACGGTCCACGAGTGGGTCTTCAGTTTGGATCGGTAGTATCAGCGAAAAAATCAAGGAAAAGTCAATACGAACAGTTTTTCGACGGGGTTCGAGTCTACGGCACGGACCAGCTATTGCCAGGGTTACAGTGGAGAAGCTAACTAATTCGGGCTCCTTCATTTCTTAGACACGCAACTTGATGAGCAAAAAGACCACCGAAATTGCATAATCTACAAACCCTAGGGAACCCAAAAGAATCAGAACGGGTAATATCAGTGGAAACATTAGGGGCCGAAAGAGTCAACGAGAACAGTTTTTCCACGGGGCTAGAGTCTACGGCGGGGGGTGTTTATTGGGCTCCTTGGCTCACCTGCAGGGATGAAGTTGCGAAGTTGGCTAATTAGGGCGGCATGATGCGAGATGCGATTAGAGCGCGCCTCAACTTTCGGCCGGAACGGGGAGGGCGACAGGCGAGAAAACTAGCGCCCGGGAAAACGGTCAAAATTAGCCGACTCCTCGCGGGTGATTAATTTTTCAGCTGCTGGAGCGACGAGGAAGCTGCAGTCTGTGTTGCCGCCATGCACTTGGAAATGGATTACATTTTGCAATAAGGAACCACTATTTCTGGATCATTTCAGAAACAACATATATGTCATTGGTTTCCCTATGCAGAAAGGTGCTTTTATGGAAGAGCCAGAGATAGTGTTTCCTTATTGCAAAATGTAATCCAAATAGAAAGCGGTGCTCCTCTGCCGTGCTAAGGAAAAACGCCGTATGAACCTTTATGCCTTTCCAAATTTCCTTCGATGAAACACGAGCAGGGAGTTTAGTTTTTTTCATTTTGGGAAATCCTGATTTTTCCTGATTTATAACTGCTAAATCCTGATTTCATAATTTTTCCAAATCCTGCTTTTTCCTGATTTATGATTGCTAAACCCTAATTTCAAATTTTTTTCAAATCATGATTTTTTGCGCATGCGAAAGCAAAATTAGCTCGATAAAAAAATCCGATCGGACGGCCGACTTTTCTCAAATCCTGATTTTACGACCGATTTCTCCTCAAATCCTGATGAAATCGGGATTAAATCCTGATAGATCTCAAATCCTGATATAATCGGGAAAATTCTGATGCTAGACACCCCGACGGGTTTCCTACTAAACTTATGAATGTTTTCCTTATAGTTTTGCAGATAATTGAGGAAAAACGGAGGATTCCACGAGAAAGTCCGGTAACAACCATGCCTGAAGTCGGTGAATATGTATCTAACAAGATGAAAATAATTAAAGTACAACAAAACTTAATTTGAAAAGAGCTGACACTCCGCTAGATCGAGAGTTGATAAAAACTAGAGCATCAAAACGGCTGGATGGGCTCGCAAAGCGTTCGGGGTCAGAGGACAAGACGAGAA